AAAAAAAAAAAAAACTCAAAATATTTAAAATATGTAAAATTTTACTAAATATTAAAATTTAAAATATTCAATTACAATAAATTATCCGATTATTTTATTTAATAAAATTATTAATAATTTATTATAATTAAATTATTTAATGTTATTTACGTATTAATATTAATGAAATTAAGTTTATGTCCGTGCACATAAAAACAAGACACACACATACAAAAAACATTTAGAATATGCACGTAATTAAATCATATTAAATTGTGAATAGGATTCTATCTGATTCTATCTTCTCTCCCGAAATCCGACAGGAATTATAGATCATTTAAAAAGCGGATTTATCTCGTGATTCAATATATGAAACGGGGACGGTAGGATGATTCGTTGCGCGAACGTGTCGGTATCGAACGCCACGACTGTGTGCAAACGTCAAAGTCGGTATTGCGGAATCATGATAGGGTAGGATGGAGAGGAGGGGGAGGAAGATTCTTGTTTTTTCCTATTCTTTATTACCTGTTAATGCTGATTATCCGAGCAATAATAGGGCATCTAGACGGAGTTCGCGAATCTTTGGAACTGCTCTATCTCGACTAGCAACGCACACACGATCGAGACACTTCTATAAATAACAACGGGAGGGCTGCGCATATCGTCTGTTAACCTGGCGCCGAGGGGTGCGCGTGCGTGCGTCGATGACGTCGTCGAATGCCAACTCGCGGGTTGGTGGTTAATCGTTACTGAAGAGGATTGGATAAAGCAGAAGGTGCGCGTGTCATATGTCGAGTCCGACGTCTAATAATTACGTTTACATTTCCGTCATAAAAATATATGTTTACGTTAAAATAAAATGTAATTTTAAGGTAAATGTAATTATTAAGAATGTGTTACATTGATTTATAAAGCGCATATGCGTATATTATTACAGTATAAAGAGCATAAACTTCATGCAACACGACTTTGCTGAACTACACTTTATGGAAATAATAATTTTACTGAAATGTTCGCTAAATGCGGATATGAAAATAATTTTTTTTTACCATCAAAATAATTATGTAGAAAACTTAAACATGATGAGCAATGCTACAAAAAATTTTGACATTTTAGCAACCATGATTTTAGCCACAATAGCTGTCCTACATAATTAGTTTGATAATTATGGATAAAATTATTTTCAGATTTGTAAAAAAACTTCTAGCTATATATTGTTAGATATTGTTCGGCAAAACCATTCTTTTTATATTGATAAATATGACGTTAGACTCACAAGATAGCACTGACAGTAATGTACGCGAAAATGTATTACGTTTATAATAAGGACCTTTCGTTCTATCTAATCCTCTTTAATCGTTACCGGGATATCAAAGGGTGATTTCGACCAATCTTTGTCATGTCTGATTAAGTTATCAAGCGATACCGTGTTATCATGAAGAGAATTATTGATTTTTTGTTTTGACACATGGGATAGCAATACTGGCGGTTAAATTAATCGGAATTTTGCCAAAATCGCGCGCGCGCGACCTAATAAATCTATTTCTATTAATGTATAATTCTGGTTTAGTTTTTATCCTTTTTTTTAAGGATCAGAAAAAGGTGACTAAAATTAAATTATATTAGAAAATGTATGTTGCCTCTCGGAGAAGACACGATCTCGCTTGAAACGGTATATTTATTCTTTTCCCTCGATATTTGAATAAAATATTACTTAGAAAGACTTGAAAAGATATGATCCGTAATAAATCTTATTTTCATCTTCGAAATCTCATGCATCTAATCGTATTTCGATATATTGCGTAAAAGAAAAAATAATGGAATAACGGCAGCATTAGGTAGAATTATTTTGGAATAGTAAAAAGTTTTCTTCGTGCTGATGGGATTATACTTTTAAATTTAGAGGAACAGTCTTACCTCAGCTAAGTAAACTTCTAAAAGTTGCAAAATAAACATTCTGCTGAACGCAGCCAATATACGAAAAACTTCGATTCTATTTGCAAATTTCTCGACTTTTTGCAAAGAAATTATGCAAGTGTTTTCTCGGAAATTTAAAACAAATGGATGCAATATCTCGCGCGCAGAACCCCGTTTCGATAATTCCCGCGCAATCGCAAGATGCGCGTGACGCGCGGCCAACTTCACGGAACTAACCTCGTGTGTTTGGATTGACAATCGAACGGGTCGAAACGAACGTCGATCTTGTTAACGGGCGCTAGATTGACGCGCTTAATCTGGTTTACGATCGCGCTCATCATACCGCCGGAGCGTTTGATGGTCCCGGAGAAATGTATCGACATCTTGGAATCTCGGCGTGAGCACAATACACGTAAATGCGACGCATATACCGCTCGCGGCGTCACTGCCCGGAACTTACCGCGCCAATGCTGCCACTATTGCGGCTGAGACCTTGCGGCTGCAGCAGGTTGGCAGCGGATCGATCTTGCACAACACCCGCCATGATCGACGTCCTATAATGGTTTTCTTCTTTTTTAAAATTCTTATTCTATCAATTAACTATTTGTAAATAAAAAATCTTGTCCTTTATTTACAAATAATAATATAAAGGACTTTTTTTCATGTAATAGCATTTTGTTATCAACATTGGTATTACATAAAATTTATGAAATATATTACAATGATCAAATAAAAAAATATGATTGGAAACAAGATCGTTTATGTTTGAATAAAAAAAAATATAGTACTGATAATGCGATAAGAAATTGATAGTTTATCCTGATATGTGCAATATGTGAATTATTTTTTTTTATTAATCATTTATATCTCAAATTAATGAAATCAGCATGAAGCTACAAACTTTGCAATTATTAAAATTTATTAATTTTTATGATTTTATTTTATTCTGTAGTTACATCTCTAGTTACATTCTGTAGTTGCATTCAACAAAGTTTTTTTTTATTGTTAAAGTGGTCAAACTTTAATTCTTTTTAAGCAGTAACTGTATTATTTTAATATTTATGAAATTAATTAATTTTATAATTTTATATTAACTATAATTATAAAATTAGTTAATCTATATTGAGAGGAACGCATTAATCAATACTATCAATAGAGTACTTTCGTCCTAATTCTTCCCTGTCTTTTCATGCATGCTAGATTACAAGATTACGACTACGGTATCTTGTTAATAGTAAAGATGAGGAATGATAAAAAGAACAGTGACGCGTCGATTGAATCTTCCGGATTGGTGCTCATCGCTATTTATATCCATTATTCTAGTTAATCGAACAGGCATGCTATAAAAAAGTCATGATATTGTAGCATCATCAACATCGGGAAGTGTTTGATTTTTTTTTTTTCTAAAAAGAGATAACGCACGTGGAAAAACTTTCACGCGCATTTAACAGAAGGTCTCCGATAAATGGAAATTTTCGAGACTGATCAGAATAGTTTAAATGATTTGCGAATACCGCGCGCAGCAACGTGCGAGTGAGCGAAGCGCCGCGGATTGTCAACCGCGACCGTCATTCGCTGTGCGCCGATTGGTCGCGCTGCATCCAATAGGCGTCGCGCTAACGGACGCCATTGCGGAGAGACGATCTCGTTTGGTAGTGTCGTTCGCAGTGTGTGTTGTGGGGAAGTGTGTGGTGTGGCCAGTGGGGTCTTGTGTTGAATTTTTTTACTTATTTATTAGTGGTTATCTGGTCTTTTACACTCGACGGCAGCGAGAATGTACCCCGCAGGACAACGTGAGTGCCATTACGCTGTCGTATCCCCGTTACGATCCATGGAAATCCCCGTAAACACGCTTGAACCATCCCTGCGGATGTTCCTCGACGAGCGAGCTCCGCGGGCTCGCTCGCTCGCGATGCACGCACGCACGCTCGCCAGACTTGCCCACGGCCTCCAGAACGTACGCCTTGCTTCTCCTTGATTATTCCTCCATCCCGGAGAACATCGTGAAGAAAATGTTGCGACACTCGTGCATGAAGACGTGCCGAATGACCTCGGATGAACCTCGTTCAACAGGCACGCGTGTCGTCACTCACCCGCGACACGACGACTTCCACGCGTTAGCTAATTCTGGTCTCTAGCGTCTCTTTCTAGATTATGGTCTTATCTACCGTGCAAACAAAGAATTCAGCGTTTTTTAGGTGTAAGAGCGAATGGTGGTAGGGAAGACCTACTGACCTTTTGTGCTCTGTTGAAAAATTGACAATTTGATGACGCTGTTCTCTTGCTTGCATCTGCATCCGAAATCCACGTGGAAAATTTTCCTGAGTTGTGCGAGCCAGCTGTGTCACATGCTTCCGACATGAGTCACATTATTAGAAGACTGTTTCGAGTTAGGAGCATTATTGGAAACAGTTTGTTAAGCATCGAAGCATTAAGAGAATGAAGTATGGTATATATACTTCAAAAATTATAAAAATTATGATCAAGACTGTGACAGTATATTACGTTTCGATAACAATGCATAATTGTTATAATTCTTTGATGACTTATATTGATTTATTTGATTTATTTCAATCAAAAATAAATATTTATGTTTGTTTCTGCTAATGTAGATTAACTTTAATTTTTATTTAACTTATTCTTTATCTTTTTACAGTCTTAAGCCAGTACTTATAATTTGTTCTTATTTTAAAATGCCTTAAGTAATGTCTTAGAATGTCATAGAGTTATATTAACATCTTAAAATATTACTTAAATATAAGAATCGACTATGAATACTATCATTAAACTAGAAAAAGATGAAAAGTTGAATCGAGATTAAAATTAAACTACATTAGTAGAAATGAACATTCAAAATTACTGTTTTTTTTTTTAATATGATCTGTCTTTATAAGCACATTATTAGGATATTATTTCATTTGCCATACAATAAGTAGTATATAAAACCGTAATATAAGTCATCAAAGTCATCAATTGATGAATGAAATACATGTTCCTGTTAAATGGTTATAGAATAAAAATTTCTAGACTTGAGAAGATTCACTCTCCAATAGCCAATCAGTACATTTGAAAAATTATTATACGATAAATGCAATATTAACTTAAGAACACTATTTCATTTAATGAGCTTTTTAATATATTGGAGTGTGCTTTCTTTATATCAAACTATAATAAACTTTATATCAAACTATATAAAAACTGTAGCTATAGAGGAAAAAAAAGGAAAAACAAATATTTATCTTTCTAATTTTTATTACTTACGATAATAAAATATTAGTCAATCAGTAAATTTCTGGCAAAGAAAACAGTACAATTCTTGCATCAAAATGTCATCTAGAAATTGGAACACCCCACTCCTTGATAACTCGTTTCAGAATATTGGGTGTTATATTTTAACTATTTGATGACGTAAGTCGCCATGAGTATCATTTTATTTTTATTATTCTCCGAATGTGTAAAAAAAATATAATGTTTGTATCATTGAATGGAAAGCATCATTTTACTACTTCATTGATTTTATTTACGAAAAAATTTTAAATGCTTTGATTTCTATCCGGATGCTGCTACCCGGGTGTTATGTCATCCTTGATTAACATTCGGTAAACAATGGTAAAAGATGGAGTGATACCTGAATAGCATTTGAGAATCTAAATACCGAATTGATTGGCCAGGATAAAGAATTTCTGGAGATTCATTATCCTTCATTATAATTGACATATTGAAAAACGTTATAAATGAAAGTGCTTTTAGTTTATTCTTTATAGTATTCTAGTTCCTACAATAAGAGTTATTGAACGATTTTTTATTGATTACATAAATCCCCCATATGTAATAGCCAAGACAAATGAAAATTTTAAATATAACATTAAAAAATAAAAAATAGTACATGTTATACATGTACGTTAATATTATAATCAAAGATAATACCATTTTCTTTTGATGCAATTACATCGGTATTTAGCCCTATATTTCGTATATCTTTGACAGATGGTCAATATGAAGGTACTGAATTTTGTTATTATAAAGGCCTAAGAGAAAGAAAACACTTTCACACTGATCGTCTTGCCATTTCTGAACGCGCGAAATTTTAATCCCGTTATTTTTAAACCTATTTCAAAACTATCATAGCTCCGACATTTTTGTATTAAACTTTTCGTTTTAAAATATTAAAAAGAATCTGTCTTTATATATAAAATATTTAGTCAGTTTTGGGACACTATACACACGCGCGCGCGCGCGCGCTTTTTATATATATATATATATCTTTACGGTTATTCTAACATATTATTTATTTAAGAATATAATATGTTGAAAGTATATCTTGTTAATTATCTTGTTAAATATATCAAAGATGTTTTGCTGCATTTTGTTATAATCACTGTCGTAAAAAAAGAAATGGAAGATACTGTAATCTGTTAACTGACTTAAAATTTCTTTTTAAGCGTTAATACTTGCAACTCATTGAATAATTGCTTAATACAATACTTTATAAACAATAAACAAAATTGTATATGAAAAATAATTGCTATATATTCTGGTAATAATTAAAGACACATAAATGTAGGAACATAAATAAAAAATGAAAAGTGCAATAGGCAGTATTTTTTCCAATTTAATAAATAAAATACATAAAATTGATACTTATTTTTAAAATTGATACTATGTCATTTTCTCAGCCCCCCCACCTGGACCCTCAACTAGTGGCGGTTCTGTTGGGACAGCAGGAGTAGCGGCGAGTAGTGTCGCGGCTCCTAGCAATATGGGGCTTGTTCCCGCACAGCAGGCACACACTCCTCCTCAACCTACAGAACTGCCAAGTATGTATATCTAATTCTAACTCTGATATTATAAATAAAAAAATTAATGAAAAATTAGTTTTCTGTAATTAAATAATATTCTTTTACAGTGTTTACGTGCCCTCGAAGACCAAACATAGGACGAGAAGGTAGACCGATCGGTTTGAGAGCTAATCATTTTCAAATTAGTATGCCACGTGGCTATGTACATCACTATGACATTAGCATACAACCTGATAAATGTCCTCGGAAAGTTAATAGGGAAATTGTAGAAACGATGGTTCATGCATATACTAAAATATTTCAATCTCGTAAACCTGTGTTTGATGGCAGAAATAACTTGTACACAAGGGACCCCTTGCCTATCGGGCATGATAAAGTAGAATTAGAGGTAAATTACTATCTTTTAAAGTCTAAAGTTACTATATCTTTTAAAAGTCCAAATGTTCTATGATTTATAATTGCATTTATAATCGTTTTTGTAGGTCACACTGCCTGGTGAGGGAAAAGACAGAGTTTTCCGAGTGGTCATAAAGTGGTTGGCGCAGGTTTCGCTATTTGCTTTAGAAGAGGCTTTAGAAGGACGAACTAGACAAATTCCATATGACGCTGTTCTTGCTTTAGATGTTGTAATGAGGCATTTACCATCTATGACATACACTCCAGTAGGTAGATCGTTCTTTAGTACGCCAGAAGGATATTATCATCCATTAGGTGGAGGCAGGGAAGTATGGTTTGGATTCCATCAATCGGTGAGACCGTCGCAATGGAAAATGATGTTAAATATCGATGGTAAGCGAAAGAAAGATTACCGATTTATCAGATTGTAAGCTTTATTATGACTTTATTCAACTACTTTCATTTATATTTTAGTCTCTGCCACTGCCTTTTACAAAGCGCAGCCAGTTATAGAATTTATGTGCGAAGTGTTAGATATTCGAGATATTAATGAACAGAGAAAACCGCTCACGGATTCTCAGAGAGTGAAATTTACCAAAGAAATCAAGGGTCTCAAGATTGAAATAACTCACTGCGGAGCTATGAAGCGAAAATATCGAGTGTGCAATGTTACACGTAAACCAGCTCAAATGCAATCGTAAATATATTATAGTTAAATTAATATTATTAAATGTGAAATATAAAGAAATATGTCATTAATTATATACTATTGCTAACGTATTATAATATAATTTAATTTAATTACAGATTTCCATTGCAACTGGAAAATGGACAAACAGTTGAGTGTACAGTTGCCAAATACTTCTTAGATAAGTACAAAATGAAATTGCGCCACCCACATCTTCCTTGCTTGCAAGTCGGTCAAGAACATAAACACACGTATTTGCCGCTTGAGGTACGCAACAATTTTTTATTTAGCTTACAATGTATTGCATTCTATTGAAGAATAAAATGTAATTTAATTTTACTTGATATTAGGTTTGCAATATTGTCGCCGGACAACGCTGTATTAAAAAGTTAACTGATATGCAGACCTCGACTATGATCAAAGCGACAGCGCGTTCCGCACCAGATCGTGAACGGGAAATTAATAATCTAGTTAGAAGGGCTGATTTTAACAATGATTCTTATGTACAAGAATTTGGATTGACTATATCGAACAGTATGATGGAAGTCAGGGGTCGTGTACTACCTCCGCCCAAACTGCAGTATGGAGGGCGCGTAAGTTCCCTCAGTGGACAGGTGAGAAACTTCCAACTAAATCAGTCAGGTCTAGCCGAATCACACATTTGCAGAGGCTAATAAGTTTGATTATTTTTAGCAGACATAAATTTTTGTAGCGCCAAATGTTTGATTATTAATTTATCATAGTTCTTAGATTCTTTATATGTAATCTGCAAGCTGAAGCTTTTAGCTGAGAAGGATAAAATACGTTTATGCAAATTTTTATTTTTATTTTTTATTTATTTAATCTTTATTTTGTTTTGTATATAATAATGTTTACGATACTTATATTTTGCAAATTAATTTATATTGCGATAATAATATTTTTAACATATGTGTGTATTTTGTTACTAAGATTACATTTGATATATCTCTACACATGTAGCCAAAAGTTGTCAAATGAATGCATGGGTTCTAGACCTGGTTGATTTGATATCTGGGCTGTTAGTGTAACGAATATTCAAATTGTCATCGTGATAAATTGTAAATGATAAATATAACGGGTATCGTTTTTGTTATATTGTAGACGTAACTTACGGTTTACAAATGTAACTAATGTTACATTTGCAGTCCGATATCACGTGCGAAAGTCTGATGCTATCAGATATTTGTTCCATGCTGACAAAACAATTCTATATTTGTTTATTTTTGTTATATAATATAATTAAATTATATTAAATAAAATTAATAAGACATGTTTGCATATGGAAACACTGATACATCTACTGCAATATAATTTTATATTATTTAAACATATTGTTTAAACATTCAATAATTTATATCTCTTTCTAAAGACAAAGCAGCAGGCGATGCCTAATCAAGGTGTATGGGATATGCGTGGCAAACAGTTCTTCACTGGAGTGGAGATAAGAGTGTGGGCGATTGCTTGTTTTGCACCTCAAAGAACAGTTCGTGAAGATGCATTACGTTCATTCACAACACAACTACAGAAAATTAGTAATGATGCTGGTATGCCCATCATTGGACAACCATGTTTTTGTAAATATGCTACTGGACCAGATCAAGTCGAACCCATGTTTCGATACTTGAAATCGACTTTCTCGCAGCTGCAACTAGTTTGTGTTGTATTACCAGGCAAAACTCCTGTATATGGTAATTGTATATGCTGTATAAATATATATATGTATGTCTATATTTATATAAATATAGATTATAGATTAATGGTTATATTTACCAATGTAATTTAATTTCAATCTTGGTTTAACTTTTTATTTTTTTTAGTTCTAAGCACTAAAAAAAGATAGAATTAATTGAATTAAGATTAAAGTTAATCTACGTGGTAGACATAAATTGTCTATCTTAATCTACAGATTTCTCTGAAATATTGTAATCATTTGTAATTTTTATAAATTGAGGTAAATAATTTGTTCTTTTCTTTCTTGTTTAGCTGAAGTGAAAAGAGTAGGAGATACATTATTAGGCATGGCAACTCAGTGTGTACAAGCAAAAAACGTCAATAAGACATCGCCGCAGACATTATCCAATCTCTGTCTTAAAATAAATGTCAAATTAGGAGGCATCAATAGCATTCTAGTACCTAGCATAAGACCAAAAGTGTTTAACGAGCCCGTTATATTTCTTGGAGCTGATGTAACTCACCCGCCGGCGGGAGATAACAAAAAACCCAGCATAGCTGCTGTAGTAGGCAGTATGGATGCTCATCCATCTCGATATGCAGCAACTGTTAGGGTTCAGCAGCATAGACAAGAGATTATCCAGGAATTGAGTTCGATGGTTAGGTGAGATGTCTAAATTAATTTATGGAATTTTACAATAAACGTTTAAAAAGTCTTTAAATTATGTTTTAAATTATTACAATCTACAGAGTAGATTGTAATATCTGAATAGCCATGTCAAAATTCTTCTCAATG